CAGAAGCAGGCCACTCGACATCATGTCCAAACAGCACACGACCCAGACCCCGCAACGCCCCCTCCACCTCCTCCTCCCCCCCCACCCCACACACACACACACACATCATCCTGTTACTCTACATTTCCCATGGCTAATCCACCTGCATATCTATAGATCTATGGATAAACGTATCCATTTTGTGGACAAAAATCAGAGTTAACGTTTCAGGTCCAGTGACCCTTCTTCACAACTGATGGTAGCTAGGAAAAAGTTGTTTCTTCATGCAGAAAATACAGAGGGGGTGAGGAATAAATGATAGGTGGAGATAGAGTCCAAAGAGAGAGAAGAACAGTTGGACAGACAAAAGACTGGATTACGGTCAGCCTGGGAGAGTGAATAGCTGCTAACAAGGACTATTAGTGGTTAACAGTGGGTAGTGTGTAATGGCAGACCATGTGATAATGGGGCCTGGCGTATAGGGGTTGGGTAAGGACAAGGCAAGATGCCTCAAACCCCAAAACTGTTGAACTTGATATCGAGTCCAGAAGGCTGTAGAGTTCCCAAGCGGAAAATGAGGTGCTGTTCTTTCAGCTTGTGTTGAGCTTCGCTGGAACACTGCAGCAAGCCCAAGACAGAGACGTTGGTCAGGGAACAGGGTGGTGTGTTAAAGTGGCACGCAACTGAAAGCTCAGTATCTGTTTTGCCGACAGAATGTAAGTGTTTTATGAAGCAGTCACCCAGTCTATGCTTCATTTCCCCACGTTCAGGAGACCACATCGTGAGCAGTGAATACAGCAGACTAGATGTGAGTGAAGTACGTTGGGGAAACAAAACATAGACTCCACCTCATTTTCCACTTGACAACATACCAAGTATGGTCTAGCCAAAGTTCGATACAGGTTTTTGTGCTTTTTAATACAATCTCTCCAGAAGTAATTCATAGTGCTTGTTGCTTTCTTTTCCCCATTGCCTTACTAATTTTGTATTTGTACTTCCAGATCCCTTTGCTTTTCCCACCTCATTCAAATTCTTATTTTCCAACCTTCCTTTTTATTAACACAATGTAATATCGCATACTTAGCTACATTGCAAGTTTATTTGTTCATCGCATGCCCATTCTACATATTCACCAATGTCCCTACTTATAATCTGGTGCAGCTCACTCAGAACTGGCCATTCCTCCCACATGGAGTCATTCACAAATTTAGAAATTTTTGGTCTTGTTTCCACCAAAGTCTAACCTGTCAATATCTTGTACAAATAGCTATCTCAGGTCTTAGCAGGACCCTGCTTCGCACCTGCTTGAGTAAGTTGTGTTTCACCCCACGTCCTGATGTCCAGTTTGCCACCACACAGCTCCCCGTTCTACAAAGTGCACAATCTATTGAATGTTAGAACAGGTTTTAAGGGCCAAGGATCTAGGTTTTGAGTAATTATTTTATTGATTAGGTTCTTTGTGCCATCTTAAAGGCTATTTGGAAGTCAAAGTAAATTATAATTGCTGCATTACCCTTGTCTACTCTTTGTTACTTCCTCAAAGAATCACGAAGTTGGTTAAGCAAGACCACACCCTTTAGAAATCACTGAAGCTATACAGGATTTTCTAACACATGTCACGATCGTGATTACACTTATAATCTAATGTAATGTTAGCTCCTAATCCAACACAACTACATTCAACCTACGAAGCGCTACAGTCTGTCTTAGTTTGCAGCTAATTTACCATTCCACTAGTTATTTTTGAAACATAGGAGCATAAGGCACCCTCCACTTAATGCACCAGACCTCCCTCACCATGGAGAGTTAGTATGGCACCAAATACATCCCATGGTCAGAAACTGAGCTCCCCACTGACAAGACTGAAGCTCTTTGAAACTTCCCACCTGGAGAAATATGGAGGTCTCCGAACCACAGCCAGATTATGAGATTTGCTGAATATCCAACAAGTATTTGAAGCCCATGCTATCACTTTTCCTAGAGTTGCACCTCAATATGGTGAGAAGGCTGTGTGCTCCTGCATCCCAGGAGCTACTGCACTGGGGTTGCAACTCTTGTTGGGTTGAACCGGTAGAAGCCAGGCTAAAGGCAATGCACTATTCACCTGGCCAAGGAGTCAGCCAAATGACCTGTATGTGTAAAAGTAGCATTTTTCAAACAGAAATGGGTCTGTTACAGTTTGGTAAGTGTAAACATCACTGGTGGAGACAACCATCTGCTTGTGATGAGGCAAGATAACAACCTGATTTCAGTCAAGTATCTTGTTCTGGCCAGACTACAGGGTTCCCTGATGTGTCACTGGGACTCCGGAAACTGGGACAAAGGCATCTCATTCCAGCCAAGATAAATTACTGGCACCCGTTCTCAGCCCCTATCCCTAGGGGAAGTGTTGACAGCAGCTCAGCAAACTTAATACACAACATGAGCACACAGATCGGAACTGAACTCCCTGCATCAGGGTACTGCCATACCTGTGACAGCTGCACTGTAAAATCTTCAAAAGCAGATGAACCGCCTTTAGGCGTTGATGTCCCATTTGCTGACAGGCCACACCCACTTGCCACTCCCAGATTTCAGCAAGTGGAAGGTGTGGGAGAATCCTCTCCTCTGATAGCATTTGCTTGAGTATCTCAAACCCTAGTAAGAAACAGGAACACATCAGAACAGGAGGCTAAATAAAGGGAAATTACTGCAGAGGTATAGCTGTACTACTGAACCATTAGTGTAGAACTCTCACAACTGCAACATGAAATTGCCATTACACAATTGAAGGAGAAGTGGACTGCCTGCTTTTACATAACCAGCCCCAATGATTTTACACACAAAAACACTTCTGAAGAAGCGTCTAGGCCCGAAACGTCAGCTTTCCTGCTCCTCTGATGCTGCTTGGCCTGTGTTCATTCAGCTCTACACCTGGTTATCTCAGATTCTCCAGCATCTGCAGTTCCTACCATCTCTGAAACACTTCTAATAGGTTTAGTTCCCTCTCCAATTAGAATAAATGCACTATAATCTGGATATATGGTGAGAAAATGCATTGAAAACAAGCATTGCATGTAAATTAAAACAAAATCCGGTCTTATTACCAATTTCAAAGAACTACGATCAATTTACCACTACCATTGACTTGAGCACACAACAAAATATATAGGTTTGCAGTTCTATACATGGGGCATAGACACTAGTATAGGTCACTCAGTAAATGTGAGATTCTGGCCGGCATTTTTTTCCCACAGAAGAAGTGAGCAGATTGTGAGGGGAAATGGGAAGGGGAAAAGAGGGGTGCGACTGCAGAGCAGTAGGAGGGGGGGGACGCAATGGCAGGGCAGGAGGAGGGGGACGTGACCACACTTGCAGAAGAGGGGGCGGTGCGACCGCACTTGCAGGGGGAGGGGGCGGGCGCAACCGCAGAGCTGAGGGGGTGGAGGCAAACTGGGGAACAGCAGATTGAGAGAGGAGGGCTGAGAGTGTGAAAGAGGGGAATAAGACTGTGACAGAACATCACAACAACATATCCTTATTCTACTTTAATGTAACAAAATTTAAGGAGCAATATAAAACAAAATTTAATACCGATCCATATATAAAAATACTGGTGTAGATGACCAAAAGCTTGAGCTGAGTGGTAGGTTTTAGACAGTGTGCTAAAACAGGAAGTGAGGATGAGGCCAGAAGGTTCAAGGAGATAATTGTAGAGCTGGAGGCCCAACCACCAAGAGCAGAAAGTGTTGAGTACTTGAAATTGGGTGACTGCTGCATTCTCCTCAATGTGTTTGCATCCTTCCGCAAGTGCGATACCCAGAAATGTACACATCACAACACTTCAAATAACATCAAACTAGTGCCTTCTGCACATGACACAGAATAAGAGAGAACAGACAATGGATGCAAAAGAGAGAAAATAGTAGAGAGAACAGAAACAAAAGGAAGAATAAAAGAAGAAAACAAATCAGCAAAAACAAGAGAGAAAAATTGGGTTACTTTCCCCATTAATGGATACACTCACCAGTCAGGAACCGCCCACGGTGGCCTCCTGTCACTGTGAATTTATAACCCCAATCATTGGTGTCTAGGTCTGACGTAAACCTGTAATACAGTGTATCACCTAGAAGAAATCAAAAAAACACTCATTTTTATTATGGTAGGTGAGAAACCCACTACAAGATAGATCAATGCTGTTGTGAAAAATCAGAAATCAACATGGGAAAAATAAACGCTGCACAGGGCCTGAAAATCAGCATTTAAGAAGTAAACGGATCGATGTTTAGGCATCACCAGTTTTTGGCCTAAAGTGTGACGGAACATGAACTATTCAAGCCAAATGTACTGAAGTAATCAGTTCTAGTACTTTTCTTTTGAGGCTGTTTCTTTCTGAAAATGCATTTTCAGCAAAAGGGATTCATTTCCCAAGAAAACTTTGTGCTAAGTTTTGGATCAGTAGACAGAAAATGATAACTACAAGGGAGTAGCAATTATGTTACTGGGCCAATTATTCACTCAAGTTCAAATCCCAACAATTTGTGAATTTCTATTAAATAAAACATTGAACATGAAGCTATGGGATTGTCTTAAAATCCTCAAAGGCTCACTATCCAGTTCCACATTGAGGTAACCTATAAAAATCTCCAGTGTAACTGTATGGATGAGGATTAAATGCTGAAGTTACCAGACAGGAACATATCCTGAGAACAAACTAAAATAAATTTCTTTCAGAGAATACAACAATAGTTCATTTGTGAGCCATGTCTAAGTTATTTACAGGCATGTCCCAGATGGACATTGCTCCCTTGTTTTGGATTCTGTAGTGGTTGTGAGAGGATTCAAAAAGTGGAGCAGAGGTCAGTGAGCACCAAGCTGCTTTTCTCAATCAACAAAGTGAAGTGAGATTGTGCTTTGCTGAGAGATCAGGCAAAACTCGCACTGCATAAGCTAGTTGTCATGCTTTTAATTTTTTGGTTACCTGTCAGTTTACTTCTCTGTCCCACTCCCAAGCTCCCTTGAAACTTAATGCAAGTTATTATCTCGGGCAGGACAATTTATAAGCCTCTAGGTTCCCCACTGCCTTCAGCAATCTCGGACGGACAACCTCGGACCCCATTTTGTTTGATCTTTGGGCAGTATTTGATGCCACTGACTCTGCTTTTGCTATTTACACCTCCAGTGTATACATCTTTACTTGTCCTTTTACCACACCAACCCTTCAGTCCCATGTTGCATCACCAAATCTCTCCTGTTCCCAACTCCATCAGAGAATTTCCCTTTTGCTCCTTCCTGCCTTTAAACTGACGTGAACCTATTTCATCCTTAATTTTTTTTCTAATCAGACAAAAAGTCATTGTCTGAAACATCAACTGTTTCTCTCTTCACAAAACGTCGCCAGACCTGTTGAGTACTTGCAGCATTGATTTTATTGCAGGAATTACAATGATTAGTCCAAACAATTCACATCATTCTCATTGTTTCTACATATTTTACATTTTTGCCAAAGTTTCCCTTATCCAGCATTAAAGATTCAATTCTATAGATAACCAAAAATACTTAAGATATCAAGATTGAACTCAGATCACAAGATAATTTCACTGTATTCCTGAGTGCTGCAACTGTACCATTAGATACAGAGCAGCAAAATTCACTTTCATTTAGTAGTAGACCTTCAGGCCCAAATACAACTGAATCCAATCTACAGCACCAGGATTCTTTTTTCATTCATTACTTTCATTTTTTTAAAATCATATTTGGTTGGTGCTATAAACTGTGAGCTGAAGGTGATACTTGAACTGTGAACAGAAACTCATGTCTTTTTTGAAACAAAGATACCAAACAAAATTAAATTTGTTTATGATGCCCGGCCTGCAAGTTAATTGTAGGTTGATTTGTGTTCAAGGAACACTGTAGAGTTTTCAATTCTAGAGATGCATTATGCTCAAACAGATGCAGACGTCTGGACATTAACTGGGGTCTCACAGGGACCTATGATGCCAATCAGTCTCATATTGAAAATATTAGAAAGAAACAAAAGGAGAAACCAAAGTTTGTATTAGTTTTGAACTGTGAGTTGTCATCAGAAAGATTAGGGCGATATTCCTCACAGCCTACTGTAAGCAGTTTGCATTGGCCAATGCCTTCAGAAACCAAAATGAGATACAATCCCATTTGCCTGTGACATTACAGATCACGGAAACTTCAGATTTATCCCTTAACTGCATTTATTTGTCTTCCCGTCTTTGAGGGGGTGGGGACAAGAATCAAGAAGAAGATTGGGTTTATATCATAGACAATCTTTAGATATTCTTATTCAACTTCGCTCTATTAAAACTAGTAATAATTTGTTAAATTATTTTGCTTAAGCTATAAACTTGATGTCTGGTATTGGTTACTCAAAAATCAGGAACCATTGAGACAAATTTTGAGGGTCATTAAGTATTCTAATTCTACTGTGCTGTAAATTCATGCAGATTTGACTTGGTTGTCAGTCCCAGTGTCAAAACAATGGAATGAAGGCATCACTGGCTAGATCAGCATTTATTGTCCATTCTTAATTGCCCAGTTAAGAGTCAACTAGGACTTACACAGTTAATGGTAGGGCCCTAGGAAGTGTTGTCAAACAGAGGAACTTAAGGGTTCAGGTACATAATTCCTTGAAAGATGTGTCACAGGTAGACAGGGTAGTAAAGAAGGCAGTTGGCACGCTTGCCTTCATTGTTCAGACCACTGAGTATGGGAGTTGGAACATCATGCTGCAGTTGTATAGGACGTAGGGGAGGCCACTTTTGGACTACTGTATACAGTTCTAGTCGCCCTTCTATAGGAAGGATATTGTAAAATTGAAAAGAGTGCAGAAAAGATTTACAACGATGTTACCAGGACTGGAGTGTTTGAACTATAAGAACAGGCTGGGACTTTTGTCCCTAGAGCATAGGAGGTGGAGGACTGACTTTATAGAGATTTATAAAATCATGAAGGGCATAGATAAGGTGAGTAGCAAAAGTCTTTTCCCTGGGATACAGGAGTTCAAAACTAAAGGACATAATTTTAAGGTGAAAGGACCTAACAAACAACTTTTTCACACAGAGGATGGTTTCAATATGGAATGAACTGCCAGAAGAAGATGCAGGTACAGTCACAATATTTAAATGACATTTGGATAGGTGCATAAATGGAAAGGTTTAGAGGGATATGGGCCAAATTCAGGCAAATGGGGCTGGTTTAGTTTGAGAAATCTGGTCGGCATGGATGAATTGAACAAAGGGTCTGTTTCTGTGCTGTGAGTGTCTATGACTCTGTAACCACATTGCTGTGGGTCTAGAGTCACATGTAGGCCAGACCAGGTAAGAATGGCAGATTTCCTTCCTGAAAGGACGTTAGTGAACTAGATGGGTTTTTCCATCAAAGTGATTACAAAGTCGCTATGAGACTAGCTTTTAGTTCTAGATTTCTGTAGGATTCAAATTTCACCATCTGTCATGTGATTCAAACCCATGTCCCCAGAACATTAATCTGAGAATCTGGATTACAAGTTGAGCCACAAATTCAACGGCTCTTGTTGACATTATCTTCAATTTCCTTTTCTCTAAAAGTGAGTGCCTACGCCCTAACCTTGCTCTTCCACAAAGAGAAAAGAGTGTGTGTCCAACACAAAGGCTTCGAAATAGGTACCATTAATCGAGGTACACAAGGGTAAGGAATTATTACTTATTATCAGTACAGTCTTCACTTCAGCAACCCTATAACATCAAAGCACACTCAATTTGTAGGAAACTCAGAGCAGGATCACCAACAATCACTGAGATTTGGGCTATCAACCCCCAATTCCCTGGACTTGGAATTCAGGCTTTCACTGTCACTCCCAGTTCATTTCACTGCTGTTCTAACCACAGTAAATGTATTGTGAAGATGTACTGCAGCCATCAGGATCAAATTTAAGGAAATGGTTCATCCATCTAAGCGATCTTTTTAAGGTCCTTTCTGCCTATTTTCCCGAAGTGATTCATAGGATAATAGCACATTCTTGTTGAGTGAGTAACCACTTTCAACAACAGTTTCCACATCTATAAGGAGTCAGGCTTAATTTAGAGCGTGAGAAGCAGTTCTAATCATCACAATTATAATAACAGCCTGAGAGCTCTAAAATGATTTATTCACTGTCTGCCTAGTCAAAAAAAAAGACCTGAAAAAATGCTACTTTTATGAATGTTCACAATGTCCCAAGTTATCCCTTTTGCAGAATGACTTTGGAATATTTGACTTCTCACCAGTTTGGGGTTTAACGCACCAAGATTGAAAGATATTGGCCAAGGTATCAGCAGTGTACACTTCAACTGTTACATGCCCAGCTGTAATGTGTTAATGAACAATACCATTCTGTACCCTGATCGGGGTGCACAGACCTGAAACCATGACTGACAGATTGTATGAAAATTCTACCTGGAATGTCAAAGTCAATCCACTTGTGTGATGATCCACTGAACATATGCCGATCTTGTTTGTAGTCACTGCTGCTGGACATCAGCAACTCATCGCAGCCATCCTCAGACACACATCGTGGATCAAACTTCACAGACAGGTATATAGCACCAGGGATGTGAACTTTGTCCTAAAGGTTAAAGAAAAACTAACTTAACTTTTATTGGATGATTTGTTATTGTTCCCAATGAAGATTCTAAACCGACAAAGTATTTGGGACAGAAACATGCAAAGTGCTGCATAAGAATATAAATCACATCTGATTTGTGATTAAGTGCCAGAAGTGCCTTTTCTAATTCATTCATGGAACGTGGGCAACAATGGCCCATCCCTAATTACCCAGGGGGCAGTTCAAAATCAACCATGTTGCTGAGAGTCTGGTGTCATATATAGACCAGGCCAGGTAAGGATGGTAGATTTCCTTCGCTAAAGAGCATTTGTGAACCAGATGGGGTTTTAATGAACATTAATCTGAGAATCTGGATTACGAGTTGAGCCACAAATTCAACGGCTCTTGTTGACATTATCTTCAATTTCCTTTTCTCTAAAAGTGAGTGCCTACGCCCTAACCTTGCTCTTCCACAAAGAGAAAAGAGTGTGTGTCCAACAGAAAGGCTTCGAAATATGTACCATTAATCGAGGTACACAAGGGTAAGGAATTATTACTTATTATCAGTACAGTCTTCACTTCAGCAACCCTCTAACATCAAAGCACACTCAATTTGTAGGTTACATGGTTGCCACTAAGACAGCTTTTTATTCTAGACTAATTTTTAAAAATTGAACACATACATCATCATCTACTATGGTGAAACGCATGCCCTAAGACCATTAGCCTGAGGTTCTGAATTACCAGTCCATGACATTACCACTATGCCACCACCTTCCTATTAATCAAAATTAACTTTAAAAAATGAGATTACCATTGATTAAGACTATCAAGAAACTACGACTTGCACTCTAACATTCTGCATTAAAATTTACTTGTTAGAAGTTTACAGTTTTATTCCACAGTGCCCTGTAGGGACATTTACATAATCCAGTTTCACTGTTGACACCGTTCTTTCCATTTCTAGATTTGTTTGTCAAAAATCAATAGTGTCATGGAAAGGATACAAGTATGTCAATTTTTTTTTTGAAGTTCTCATCTTTCAACTGAAAGAACAAATAACACCCAAGGAGCGAAGGAAAAAGAGAATAGACCTTTCAGTCCCTTGAGTCTGCTCTGCCATTCAAGAGATCTTGGCCAAACTTCTACCTCAACTCCACGTTCCCACTCTATTCAATAGTTCCCAAAATTGTATTGACCTCAGCCTTGAGTGTAGTCAACGGAGTCTTGTGGTGCAGTGATAGTGTCTCTGAAGGAAAATTGACCATGCCCAATAACTGGATGTCTAGAGTTCTCTGGGCATCAAAATTCCAAGGATTGAATTTTCCACATGTAGAAAATTCCCACCTCTGTTCTAAACAGTTCACCTTGAGATTATGATGCCCATTTCAACAGACTGCATCCACTAGAAGTAGCTTCTCTCAACATCTACCTGTCAACCCCTCTAATATTTTATACATTTCAATGAGATCACCACAATAAAGGTCAACATACTATTTGTGTTCCTTTTGTTAGCTGCACCTGCATATTAACTTTCTTTGTATGTTCAAGGAGAGACATTCCTCAGAATACCAATAACTACTAGTCTTATGAATATACCTGTTTTTTTCATTCTTATTATCCAAGTGGATAATTTGTCCTTTTGCTACATTATACTCCATCTGCCACCTTCTTGCTCAACAATTTAACTGATCTATATATCCCCTTTGCAGACCTTCCGCCTCCCCCTCACAGCTCATTTTCTCGAGCTCTGTATCATCAGCAACTCTGCACACGTAACATACATTCCCCTCATGAGTCACTGAAATAAATGGTAAACAGCTGAAAACCCAAGCACGGATTGTTTGCAGCACTCCATTAGTTGTGCTTAGCCATCCTGAAAATTACCCATTTAGAATCAGAATCCCTACTGTTTGGAAGTAGGCCCTTCAGCCCATCAAGTCCACATCGGCCCTCTGAAGAGCATCCCACTCAAACCCACGCCCCAATCCCGTCCCTGCAACCCTACACTTCCCATGGTTAATCCACCTGGCCCACAGAACCCAGGACACCAAGGGGCAATTTCCTGTGGCCAATCCACCTAACCTGCACATCTTTGGACTGTGGGAGGAAACCGGAGCACCCAGAGGAAACCCACACAGACACGGGGAGAACGTGCAGACTCCACACAGACAGTCGCCCCGAGGCTGGAAATGAACCCTAGTCCCTGGTGCTGGGGGGTTATTTGTACAGTTTTGTGCCAGTTAACCAATCCCCAAACCTGTGAGTCCTGACCTTGCATAACAGCCTCTTGTATGGCACCAATTTGTAGAGATTGTTCTAGAATCTCCATCACTTTCCTTTTAATTAATAGAATGCACCTTTTAGATGCATTCTTTTCTCTTTTCTTTCCATTTTCTAATCAACATGTTCAGAAATGTTTTTACACAACTTTGGAGCTGGTCGGACTTTAAACCTGGGCTTCTTGGTATGGACATTACCACAAACAGCCCATTCAATTCTCCAGAATTTTTTTTTTCTAGCACCAATTAAAATTCTTGACCCTTGTTAGGCCATCAGTTCCTTTCAACTTCCTCAAGGATTTATATGGTTATTGAGAGGGAATGACCCACTCAGTGCTCAGAAAGATCTTCAAGCTCATCAGCCCATTTCACTTCTTTTATATTTACCAAGAGAAGTTCTGTGGCATTAGACACAAGTCATGGCTCATTTGGCAGCATTCACAGCCAAGTCAGAAGGTCATAGATTTAAGTCTCACTCCAGAGATATAAGCAAATTATTTAGCTTTTAATTGCAGAACAGAACATAGTCATCAGAACAAGGTGTGGTCTGGTGTCCCTACCTCTGAGCCAGGAAGCCCAGCTTCAAGTCCCACCTGCTCCAGAGGTACTTAATAACATGAAGAAAAACAGAAGTTGCTGGAAAAGTACCTGCGAAGAGAAATCAGGCTTAACATTTTGGGTCCAGTGACCCTTCCGCAGAACTGATGGTAGCTAAGAAAATGTTGGTTTATATGCAGAAGATAGGGAGGGCAAGGGGGTAAGGAGTAAAAGAAAGAACAAAGAACAAAAGAGAAGTACAGCACAAGAACAGGCCCTTCAGCCCTCCAAGCCTGTGCCGATCATCGTGCCCTGACTAAACTAAAAAACAAACATTCTGCCCTTATTCAGTCTGTATCCCACTATTCCCTCTCTATCCAAATAACCATCCAGATGCCTCTTAAATGTCTTCAATGTGCCTGCTTCCACCACCTCCTCTGGCAGTGCATTCCAGGCTGCTACCACTCTCTGCGTGAAAAACTTTCCTCACACATCTCCCGTAAACTTTTGCCCTCTCACCTTGAACCTATGCCCTCTTGTAATTGAAACTTCAACCTTGGGAAAATGCCTCTGACTATCCACCCTATCTATGCCTCTCATAATATTGTAGAGGTCTATCAGTCTCCCCTCAGCTGCCGGTTTTCCAGTGAAAACAATCCTAGTCTCTTTAACCTTTCCTCATAGCCAATGCCCTAGAGACCGGGCAACATCCTGGTGAGCCTTCTCTGCACTTTCTCCAAAGCTTCCACATCCTTCTGGGAATGTGGCAACCAAAACTGCACACAATACTCCAAAGGCGGCCTAACAAGGGTTTATAATAGCTGCAACATAGTTTGCTAACTCTTGTACTCCATGTCCTGGCCAATGAAGGCAAGCATGCCATATGTCTTCTTAATCACTTTGGCCACTCGTGTTGCCACTTTTAGGAAACTGGGGGCCTATATGCCCAGATTCATCTCAACATTAATGTTCCTAAGAGTTCTGCCATTAACAGTATAATTCACACCTAAATTTGATCCTCCAAAATGCATCACCTTGCATTTATTTGGATTAAATTCCATCTGCCATTTCTATGCCCAAGTTGCCAATCTATCTATATCCTGTTGTATCCTTTCACAATTGTTGGTACTATCAGCAAATCCACCAATCTTCGTGTCATCTGCAAACTTACTAATCAGACCACCCACATTTTCCTCCAGATCATTTATATATACTACAAACAACAGAGGACCTAAGACTGTTCCCTGTGGAACACCACTAGTTACAGGTCTCCATTCTGCAAAAACACCGTTTTACCACTACCCTCTGACTTCTATGACCATGCCAGTTTTGTATCCATTTAGCACCAGCCCACCTGAATCCCATATGATTTTAATTTTTATACCAATCTGCCATGTGGGACTTTATCAAATGCCCTGAAGTCCACATAAACCACATCCATAGCTTTCCTTTATCAGCTACCTTTGTCACCTCTTCAAAAAATTCGATCAGGTTGGTGAGACATGATCTTCCCCGTACGAAACCATTTTGCCTGTTACTAATTAGCCCATTTTCTTCCTAATGTCCATATATCCTGTCCCTCAGTATCTTCTCCAAGAGCTTCCCCACCACAGATGCCAGACTCACTGGTCTATAATTTCCTGGATTATACCTGCTTCCTTTCTTAAACAAGAGAACAACACTGGCTCATCTTCAGTCCTCTGGAACCTTGCCGGAGGTCAAGGAGGATGTGAAGATATCTGCTAATTCCCCAGCTATTTCTTCCTTTGCCTCTCGCAATAACCTGCGATAGATCCCATCTGGCCCTGGGGACTTGTCTACCTTAGTGCAATTTAGGATTCCCAAAACTTCCTCATGACATTCTCCAGAGTATTCACACACTCATTCCTGACCTCTACATCAGCCATGTCCTTCTCCTCGGTAGATACCGATACAAAGTACTTATTAAGGATCTCTCCCACTTCCTGTGGCTCCACACAGGACTTCCCTCCTTTGTCCTTGAGAGGGCCCACACTTTCCCTTGTTACCCTCTTTCTTCTAATATATGCATAAAAAGCCTTGGGATTCTCCTTGACCCCATTTGCTAAAGACATTCCATGGCCCCTTTTAGCATTCCTAATTCTGCGTTTAAGTTCCTTCCTAATTTATCTATACTTCTTAAGGGCTTGGTCAGTTTGTAAGTTTTGACAAAGTTTACAATTTCCCTTGTCATCCATGGTTCCTGGATCCTGCCATTCCTATCCTTCAGTTTTGCAGGGACACGCATGTCCTGCACTTTAATCAACTGGTCTTTTAAAGCCTCCCACATGCCAGACGTAGATTTGCCGGCAAATAACTGCTCCCAATCCACATTCCCCAGTTCTTGTTTAATTTGGATATAATTGGCTCTGGCCCAATTAAACACCCTCACCTAACAGCCATTCTTATCCTGGTCCATGACTACCCGAAATCTTATGAAGTTATGGTCACTAAGTCCAAAAGGCTCTCCCCTACTGAAACATCAATCAACTGTCCTGGCTCATTCCCTAATACCAAGTCTAGTACGGCGTTCTCTGTGGTTGGATTTTCAACATACGGACTCAAAAAGACCTCCTGGACACATCTAACAAATTACTCTCCATCTGAGCCCCTGGCTCTAAGGGAGACCCAGCCAATAAGAGGAAAGTTGAAATCAAAGTGGGGATAGAGCCCAGAGAGACAGAACAGCAGTTAGATAGACAAAGGAGTTGATAATGATCTGGCCACAAGGGTGAATAGTTGTTAACGGAGACCATTAGCAGCTAACAGTAGGCAGTGTATAATGGCAGACTGTGAGATAACAAGGCTGGTGCGTGGGTAGGGGGCTAGGACACAGAGTTTAGGCCCTAAAATTATTGCACTTGATACTGAATCCGGAGGGCTGCAGGGTCCCAAACGGAAAATGAGGTGTCATTCTTCCAGGGATAGTAGGAACTGCAGATGCTGGAGAATCTGAGATAACAAGGTGTAGAGCTGGATGAACACAGCAGGCCAAGTAGCATCAGAGGAGCAGGAAGGCTGATGTTTCGGGCCTAGACCCTTTAGGCCCAAAACGTCAGCCTTCCTGGTCCTCTGATGCTGCTTGGCCTGCTGCGTTCATCCAGCTCTACACCTTGTTATCTCGGTCATTCTTCCAGTTTGCGCTGGGCTTCGCTGGAACACTACAGCAAGCCCGAGACAGATGTTAGCCAGGGAATAGGGTGGTGTATTAAACTGGCAGGCAATTGGAAGCTCATGGCCTTTTTTTGCAAGCAGAATGTAGATGTTAATCATTTACTCCTTACCGCCTTCCCACTCCCTATCTTCTGCATATAAACCGACATTTTCCTATCTACCATCGGTTCTGAGGAAGGGTCACCAGAGCCGAAACATTAACTCTGATTTCTTCACAGATGCTGCCAGACCTGCTGAGCTTTTCCAGCAACTTCTGCTTTTGTTCCTGATTTACAGCATCCACAGTTCTTTCGGTTTTTATTATGTATGTAATAACACCTTTGAACAAGTTGATGGGAAAATATCTACAAGGTGCAGTGCTCTGTAACTATTTGAGGCAGAGCAGGAAAGTTCTTCCACATTCCCAGGTCAAATGTATGTTCCTACAAAACTACCAGTAATCCACCTCCTGCCAAAAACAGACAATTGCATTGGTCATTTAGTCATTGCTGCTTGTGGGACCTCACAGTGCACCAACAGGCTGACCTATTTCTGACATAAGGACAGTGCTTTTGGATGCTCTGATGATTTGAAAAGCACTGAATAAATCAGTGTGCTTTTTGTGTGTTAAAAAACACCCAGGATCATGGGGGCTTCAATCTGTCCCGGTTTCATGTCACTGCTTACACTGTATCATGGGCTGGCACTACATTTAGAATAAACTGCAACACTAAGCTAGACGAAACCTCAATTGTAGAGTTGTTGTCATAGGGATGCTTGGACTCCCTGACTTGGACATCCATTCCTGGCTCTTCCATAAACTGACAGGCCGTCACTGCCAGAGACCTCAGCATGTTCACACTGCAACCAAGCAGCACTTTCTGCAGAATCTGATGAAAACAAACGAAAAGATGGTAAAACTGTAACACAGAAAATATATTTACAGGTTTAAACACATGCACGACACAATGGGGAAGCGCCAGGCTGCAGTCAATTAAGCCCCAAATTATGATAATATTATGAAAGGGAAAAAAATGCACGTAGCTTATTTTAGTCACTTGACTTTCTGCTGGCAGTCCTTCCCACACTAGCATTTCTTAATTTATGACTGCTGAGACATTTAAACCAGTAATAAATAAACTGATCAGTAAACTATGTTGTATCAGAGATAGTAGGAACTGCAGATGCTGGAG